AATCTGGAAAATATATTTATATTTATATATCTATATATATATAATGTCACATGGTTGCATGTTTTCTGACTCAGTAATCCCACTCTTAGGTTACAAAACAGCAAATTCATCCTCCAAGACTCCTTTGAATGTCCACAGCAGATTTATTTGTTTATTTATTATTAATGCTGCTTTGTTTTGAGACAAGGCCTCATGTAGCCCAGGTTGGCCTCAAACTTGCTGTGTAGCCAAAGGTGGTCTTGAAGTTCTGCTCCTCCTGTCTCCACCTCCCAAGTACTGGGATTACAGGTGTGTGGCATCATTCTAAGATTAAACAACAGCTATTAATAGTTCCAAACAAGAGACAGTCCAGTGTCAGGTCAGCAGGAGAACAGAGGAACAAACTCAGTAAAAAAGAAACATGTTGAAAGAAATAGAAATATAAATGTAATTACTTTCAAAAGAAGTTTTATCTCTACAATGTAAATTAAGAGGCTTCAATTAATAACCAGGATCTACATTTTCTTTATCTCCAGTTTGCTCTACCCAGTAGGGAGCCTGTCCACTCTCAGAGGCTGAGAGTCCTGGACTCCCACATTAACAACGCTAATATTTGTATAAGGTCAAAGTGTTATAGAGCTAATATCTACTTTAGTGTTCCTGGATATGCCAATTGTAGCTTGTAGCACTGTAGTTTGTTTTCTCATTCACAACACCCTCTCCTCTTACTTTTATGACTCTGGCTTTGTGTCAGAGCCCTTATACTCTACTTTTATGACTCTGACTATGTGCTGAAACCCCACCTCCCCTTTACTAGAATGCCCACTTCCCCTTTAAATTAGCCAGTCTGGTTTAGATTGTGTGACTAAACCTTGACTAATGAGGGACAGTCAAGCTCTCTGTCTCCTTAGGTACAAAAGGGAGAAACCATCTTAACAAGGTATATTGCTGGATTTAGAGTGGCCTGACACCTTCTTGTAGTTTGCCTTGCCAAACTGCTTTGGATTATATGGTTATTTTGTTGGGCCCCCAGACCCATTTCTTTTTAAAAACAATGTTTTATTATAATTAATTAATTAATTAGTTAGTTAATTAACTTATTTATTTGTATGAGTGTATTGCCTGCATGTATATAAGTGCGCCCATGTGGTACAATGCCTGCGCAGGTCAGAAGAAGGCTGCCATGTGGGTGCTGGAAATTGAACTCAGGTTCTCTGCAAGAGTAGCCACTGCTCTTAAACATTGAGCAATCTCTCCAGTGCCCCCCCCCATTTCTAATATACATTTTCTGGCACACACTGTAACACAGATTAACTAAAAAACATACCAAGTGAAAGAAGTCAGTTACAAAGAAGACATATGTGATATCTTGGTTGTCAACTTGACACTTCTAGGAAGAGGGAACCACAATTGAGGAATTTTCTCCATTAGATTGGCCAGTAGACAAGTCTGTGGGGCTTTTCTTGATTGCTAATTTGTTGGGGACCCCTGTTGTGTAAAGTAGCAGTCTCTCCATGTCCAGATAGCCTATGGGCTTGGCTTCATATGCAGAGACTCCTTTTATCAGCAGGGTGCCTTCCAGGCATCTTCCTGACTCATCTTTTGAAGTAGCCATGGCCTCTGGCTCTGGAACTGCCAGCTTTTCCTGTGTGATTTTCAGGCAGTCTGACAGCCTGGCAGGAGCCCACTTCCATATGTAAATAAGGCATCCCATAAAGTACCTATCAGCTAAGGCTTTTACCACTACCCCCACAGTATAAAGTATCCTGGTTTTCCCTCGATAATCGGAGCTGGATCACTAAGGCTTGGAGCCTAGCTAAGTCACTGAATAAAGGGGCTGTACCACTGACTGAGCTGAGTTCTGTGTGTGATCCTGCCTCTCTGGAGAGAGCTGTCTCTTCGTAAACTGACTCACAGAAATCCAGCTTTCCCCGTGCTGCACCTCCCCTCGTGACCCGGCAGCTGACCGTCCGGAACTTAGAGAGAGAGTACAGGGCCGATTGGGAGGGAACGGACCTGGCCAGCCCCGATAGCAGAGACCCACAACGACGCAGTGCGGACCGCCTCACCCCAGGTGCGCGCAGGAGACCGGCGCCACGCCCAGCAGCTGGCGCTCCGAGATCCCTGGCCACCATACTAATTGATATAGGAGGGCCTAGCCCATTGTGGGTGGTACCATCCCCAGGCAAGTAGTCCTTCTCCATGGTCTCTGCTTCAGCTCCTCCTCCAGGTTCCTGCCTTGAGTTCCTTCCTCAATGACGGACTGTAACCTGTAAGATTTAATAAACCCTTTCCTCCCCAAGTTGCTTTTGTTCGTGCTGTTTTATCACGGCAGCAGAAACCAAAGTAGAGCAGCATATGACTTGATTAATAGTTATAGAAAGAGCAAAGGCACCTATTCTAGGAAGAAACAAGACAAAACAAAAACAAAAACAAAAACGTGCTATTAGTTGGAGGAGGAGCTGACAGACACGGAACAGTATAGAACTTTCTGGAGAGTAGGAGAGGTCTTCTATTTGAACTGTTTGATACACTGATCACCAGCCACACAGGTTATTTAAATTTAAGTGATTTGCAGTTAAATAAACTTCAGTTCCTATGATCAGAGTCATACTTCAAATACTCAATAGGCCCGTGTGACTAGTGTCTACTCTATGTGCACAGCATAGATCATTTCCATGCCTGGAGGCAGTTCCAGTGGACAGCACTGGTCTGTATCTTGTTAGGGTATGGGTTACATAATTGAAGATATTTATCAAAATTCATTGAATGTGTTATCAATGAGTGTTATCCCACTTTCTATGGCTGTAACAAAATATCTGAGGTAATTAACTTACAAAGAAGAGAGGTTTTATTTTGGTTCATAGTTTTAGAGGCTTTAGACCTGTGTTATGGCAGTATATCATGCTGGAAACAGTCAGTGGAGCAAACTGTTCACCTCATGGATGAGGACAGAAGTTAAGAAGGGACAGGCTCCCAATACCCTTTCAAGAACATATCCCCCAATGGCTCAAGCAAAGACTTCTACTAGATCCCATCTTGTAAAGTCTGGGGATGTAGCTCAGTGGTAGAGCACTGGCCTAGGTTCTAGATTCAATCCCAGTCTTAAGGTACAAGAGGGTTTCCCCACCTCCCAACAGCTGGGAACTAAGTCTTTAACACATAGACATTTGGGGGGATATTCAAGATATGAATTATACAAAAAATGGTAATTTAAAACCTGTGCATTTCATTTATAAAATTTATCCTTGAGTATATTCAACCCAATGAAAGCTACCTAAACTGCAATATTGAGGGGCAGGTGTACTAATGTCTGCAGTTTACTCTTTTGTTTGTTTTTGAGACAGGGTCTCCCTGTAGCACCAGCTGTCCTAGAACTCGCTATGTAGACCAGGCTGCCTTGATCTCACAAAGATCCACCTGCCTCTGCTTCCCGAGTGCTGGGATTAAAGGGGCTCACCACCATACTGCAATTTACTTTAAAAACATTGAAGAGTAAGGTAGATTGGTAAGTGAGTAAAGGGACGGTTGGATGCATTGGTGTGTGTCAAAGCAGGTGTGCCAGCCTGTGAGCTGCAGAATGCAGGTGCTGGGCAAAGAATCTATGTTGCATATTTCTTCTAACTTTTCTGTATATTTGTATTTTTTCATAATAAGAACTATGGAGGAAACCTTGACAATGCAGTCAAGGAATTAATATCTGGGTAGAAAAGTCCTGTGGGAAATAGTTGAGTCAAAGAATAACCAGACAAGATTACTGCAAGTCACATCGAAAATCACATATGCAGGACACAGGCATAAAGCTGAGTGGTTTCTATCCTTTTCCATTCAATATCTGATAAATATTGGTGTGATGAAAATTATGCTGTAGAACACTGTCCTCCTGGCTAACCATCATCTTCACCAGAATAGCCCTGACTGCTTGCAAGAGACTTTGAACATCTGACCTGATGATAGTTGACTCTTCTTTGAAGGAGGGTGTAGGGAGGGTCACTGGACTCTCACCCTGAGATTCCCACCTGTACTTCCTGGCCATTTGAATGCAATTCTGCCCTCATAGCACTTGGCCTCTTGGAGATTAGAAGGGATTAACTATAGGGAGACTCCATCTCTGCCACTGTGGGGAAATTCTCATCCAGGCTGGAGTGAGACTTCTGCAGCTGTGGCTGACTTCGGGTCACCACACTTAAATCTCATTGGCTCCCCAGTTTGGACTTTGGTGGAATTGTAGTTTGGTTTGTTGTTGGGCCTTATAAGGAGGGGATGAATGTTGGTTTACATCTCCCCAGGGAAGGAAGTCTCACGACAATGCTTTTGTTGGTGTCTCTCTCCTCACCCCTCACTCCCAGCCTCAGGCCTTTCCACTTCTTGTTCAGGCTGGCCTCCAGATCCTGGGTTCTTCAGTGATGGGCTGCTGCCGCTTGCTCTTTCCCACGATTGTGATTTTGCTTCAGCATACCCTCCTGGGAGCAGCCTTTGCAGGTCACCTTGCCAGGTTTGCATCTCTCCACCACCCTCTTCACTTTGCTCTGGGATTTAAAGTTTTTGATTTCTCTGAAGAAAAGTTCTATACAGGAGTTCATAGTATTTATCTATGTATTTACTTGAAAACCATCGGTTTTGTTAAGACTTGTGTATTTGTTCTTACTGTGACGTGGAGTGCACATCAGCCTGTTTTGGTTCCTTCATCCTATTGTCTGTTTTTCTCTAACAACCGGGTTTGGAACCGGGGTTGGAACTTTGTTTGCTGGGTTCACAGCCCGACAAAGTAAGTGCCCAATAAATGCCTAAGGATTCAGGTCTGTTGCTTTGGATGCTGGGCTCCTACATACACAGATGTGGGGGCCACCCCATCACCCCAGGCGGGATCGTTGAGGCCGCCACAGCCAGGACCTGGACGTCCCGGCGCCCGCCCCCCGCCCGCGGTCTGAGGCTCCGCCCCAGGCCCCGCTCCCGGTCAGGCTTGAGAGGGCGCGTGTCCCTTTAAGGGCGGCGGGACCGCGCACCCGCCTCGCTTTGGGCCGGAACCTGCGCGTTCGCGGCCGCTCGGTGGAGGAGGGCCAGCGCCCAGGGCAGGGAGCGGGGCGATGCTCCGGCTGCGCGGCTGCTACCCGCGGCCCTGCGGCTCTCTGGTGCCTGCGGAGCGGGGCCGGGCGGCCGGCCGCGCCCTGCGGGTACTGGTGGACATGGATGGCGTGCTGGCCGACTTCGAGGGCGGCTTCCTCAGGAAGTTCCGCGCACGCTTCCCGGACCTACCCTTCGTGGCGCTGGAGGACCGGCGCGGCTTCTGGGTGTCGGAGCAGTACGGTCGCCTGCAGCCCGGGCTGAGCGTGAGCACCCCGTGGCCGCGCGGCCGCTCAGAGCCCGGCACCCTAGTGACCTTGGGCGGGTCTGGGGAGGACCGGGGCCACAGCGCTGGGGGCGGAGGGGAACCAGGGGTCAGCTGCTGCCGGCTGTCACCGGCAGTGTTTCTCTCCACCTGGAGCTGCCTCCACATAGAGCTGACTTCCTTCCTCTTCCTCCCCTTTGGTTGGTAGTGGTTTTGGAGATTGAACCTAGGGTCTCCTGTATGCCAGGCAAGCTGTCTACCACTGACCTACATCTCCAACCCCTTTGAAAAATTTTGTCATAGGATCACACCAACTTGCCCTGGCTGGCCATGAACTAAGTCACTCTGTAGCCTAGGCAGGCCTTGAACTTGCAATCCTTCTGCTTCAATCTCCCAAGTAGCTGAGATTACAAATCTCTACCACCAAGATCAGTTTGACTGTCAGATTTTTGGTATATTTGGCCTCAGATAATTTGTTACATTAAAAAACATAAACTAAATATTATAATTAAATACTCCTTCACCCCTAGAACACATGGCTGTTTTTTCCTCCCTATGAATTTGACAAGTGTCTTTGCTCTTGTTTTTTCTTCCCTAATCCTTGAAAGCATAACTTCCTGATACTGTACACCTTGAGAGAGTGACTTTCAGAGTGTCACTAGGAAGTCAGGGTCAAGGTACAGTGAGATTACCTCTTGGCCTGCCCCCTTGCAATGAGAGCCTTGCTGGACCTCCCCTAACTCCAGTCCATCATGGATAGTCGAATATCCAGGATGGTTGGCAGAGAGAGTGTAGTTTACAGATTTAAACTATTTTGTGAAAGGGACCAGGGGAGTTTTACTACCATAAACTTAAGGGGCTGAATTTTCTGGTATCTCACAATTGGCTACTTAGGATCACGGCCAGAGGGGTTGATGGTGAGGAGTAGGATAGTGTTTAGAGCCAGGTTTGTAACTCCAGGTCCATGGTCTGTCTTGTCTGTGGGGAGGCACTGCCATTCCCACTTTGCATATGAAATCAGCATCCAAGTCACTGGGTAGCAGGATTCAAACCCCAGCTACCTGTCTGCCCCAGCAGCTGGCCATCTATTTCATACTCACTTCACTTTCCCCACTGCAAACACCTGTTCTCTGTCTTGCACACTCTACAAGTGAGTGGCATTTCTTTTGGCTTCAACAGGGCACAGGGCTGGGAATGTAGCTTTAGTGGTAGAGCATTTGCCTAGCATATGCAATGCTCTGGGGTCTAATCCTAGCACTGCAACTCTCCCCCCAAGTCCCAAACCACCACATAAACAAGACATTGCCACAGTAATATGATTTGCTGAGGGACAGGTGTTAAAAGGGACATCAAGTGACATCTCTGTTCATTCATAGAAGGCATTTCTGCAGGTGACTTCCACATAGCCCAGGGAGTTACCTCTCCCAGTGCTGAGAACTAATGAAAAACTTTAAACCAGGGAAAATAATCCGTGTCACCTCTGTAGCCTCAGCAGCCAACCACTGCACCATGTGAAGGTTCATTTGTAGAGGAGTGACCAGTGCTGGAGTTTGGGGGTCCTTATTTTCTTAGAGGAATATGTTAATGAAATAAAATCTATCCAGATGCTGAAAAAACACTGAATTCAAGCCCAAACACCATGAAAAAGAAAAAAAGTGGGGGCTTGGGGCTTAACTTAGTTTTGTGGTGGAGTATTTGCCTAGTATGCATGAGGCTCTAGGTTTCATCTTCAACACTATAAAACAAATAAGAAAGAAAAACAAAGTGCAGTAGCTTTAATATCTCTTTTTACTGATACTCCAGGCCATAGGGGACCAATTCCTGTCTTCAAGTACAAGTTGAAAGAGTGTAAGGAAGAAGGAGGCTGCTGGGGGTGGGAGAGACCTGCTGATTCCACTCAGTCCCTTTCCAAGCTTCAGCTCTCTGGTCCCCCTGTGGTCTAGTTGGCCAAGTATCTATGGTTAAAACAATCCAGTTATGATAAATGTAGGCATTTGTGTTGTTGTCCCTTGGTATTGTGGTGGTGGGGGGCGCTGGTTCCAGGACCACTTAGGGTACCAAAATTTGCAGCTGCTCAAGTCCCACATGTAGAAGGGTGTAATATTGGCATGTGACCAGCACAGTCTTCCCATATAGTTCAACTCCTCTCTAGATGATTTAGAACACTTAATGCAGTGTAAATGCTGTGGAGAGTAGGAGCAAACTGAGTGCGAACCCCAGGAAACTGGTCCAGGGTGAGTGTAGGGTGAGGGGAACCTTGAAGCCCCTTCCTACTAGCAGCCCTGCTCTGCTGTGCATGCTTCCCAGGGGAGGGCAGTGAGGCACTGGAGACCTAGAGGTGACCTGTTTCTTTGGCTTCTCAGGAGAAGGCCATCAGCATTTGGGAGTCGAAGAATTTCTTCTTTGAACTTGAGCCTCTGCCAGGGGCTGTGGAAGCTGTGAAACAGATGGCCAGTTTGCAGAAGTAAGTGTGTCTTCCTGCTCCAGGACCCCATAACCCAGGCCTACACCTCCTTCCTGCCATCTTGCCCTTCTCTCCTCAGCCCTACACAGGCCCCTTACATCCTTGACCCCGGTAAAAGCCCTGCTGGGCAGATGCTGCTGACTTGGGGTTGGCTGTGGCACACAGCATGAGCTTTGCTCACCAGGACAGTCCAACCAGTGATCATGAAGCAGGGCACATGAACCCAGGCTGCCAATTGCTGAAAGCGTGAACAACAGGCCTCATTTGGAAAAGAGGTTCAGGAAAAACGGGGGTATCATTTGGTTCTGGTGAAATGAGAGGTTGTATGGGTCGAAGCCTTTACTCAGTACCCATTCCCAGTGATCCTTTGAAGCCCCTTGGAACTTCTTGCCAGTGTGCTTCCCCAAGACCTTTCACAGACACAGTCTCACTGACATATAATCCATAGCTCATACAGCTCCCCCCATTTGAAGTGTACAATTCATTGGCTTTTAGAACAGTCACAAAGTTATGCAGCCATTACTGTTGTAATTTTAGAACTTTAAAAAAATTATTTTTTTATTTTATAGGTATGCATGTATTGCCTGCATGTAGGTAAGGCACCTGTGTCGTGCATTACCTGCGGAGGTCAGAAGAGGCTGTCAGATCCCCTGGGACTGGAGTTATGGGCAGTTGTTTGCTGCCATGTGGGTGCTGGGATTCAAGCCCGGGTCTTCTGCAAGAACAACCAGTGTTCTTAACCGCTGAGCCATCTCTCCAGCCCCAGAACTTTTTTTTAAAATCACACCCCAAACCCCAAACTCATTAGGAGTCACTGCTCATTTCTCTTTTTTTCAATTCCTAACAACCACTAATTTACTTTCTGCCTCTAGGGCTTTGCCTGTTACCAACATTTTATATATAAATGCCACCATACAGTATATGGTCTTTGGAGTCTGGCTTCTTGCACTTAATATAATGGTTTTAAGTTCCTCCATTTTGTAGTATGTATCAATACTTACTCTTTTTTTTGTTTTGTTTTTGTTTTTTGGTATTTGCACACTGTGTGTGTGTGTGTGTGTGTGTGTGTGTGACAGAGAGACAGAGAGACTCTGGTGGAACCTAGTGCCTTATGCATGATGTACAAGTGCTGTATAATTGATCTATACCCCTAGTCTAATATCTATACTTTTTATATAGCTGAGTAACATTCCATTATATGGATAGACTACATTTTATTTATCCAGTCATTAGTTGATGGGCATTTGGGCTGTTTTTACTTTTTAAAATTTTAAAAAATATTTTATTATTTTTATTTTATGTATATGAGTTTATTGCCTGCATGTAGGTAAGTGCACCTGTATTGTTCAGTGCCTGCGAAGGTCAGAAGAGGGTGTTGAATCCCCTGGAACTAGAGTTATGGATGGTTGTTGGCTGCCATGCGGATGCTGGGAATTGAACCTGGGTTCTCTGCAAGTGAGTTGACCACTGAGCCATCTCTCCAGCCTGTTTTTACTTTTTGACTTTTGTGAATAGTACTGCTGTGAACATTTTTGTTCATATTTGTTTGAATACCTGCTTTAACTTCTTTTGGGCCTAGGGGAGAACTGCTGGGACATTGGGTAATTTTGTGTTTAATATTTTGATGAACTGTTAACTTCTATCAGTGTAGGAAGATTAGTTTCTTGACATGTTGTCAACCCTTGTTTTTATCTTTTATTTTGTTCCTCCTGGTAGATGTGAATGAGGTCTCTTATTGTGGTTTTTCTTTTTTTAACTGGTGCTGGGGATCCCAGGACTTTGCACATGCTAAGCACATACACTGTCCTGATGTGTGGGTAGCCCTTGTGGGTTTTTTTTTGGGGGGTTGTTGTTTTGAAACAGGGTCTCCCTATTGTCCCAGCTGACCTGGAACTTGCTGTGTAGACCAGGCTTGCCTCAATCTCACAGAGATCCCCCTGCCTCTGCCTTCTGGGTGCTGCCATTAAAGCATGTGCCACCATGGCCCCTTGTGGCTTTGATTTGCATTTCTTCAGTGGCTGACACTGTTAACATCTTTTTATGCACTTACTGGCCATTTGCATGTTTTGTCTAGAGAAATATTCTCATATCTTTTGCTTATTTTTAAGAAATTGTTTATTTGCACTTGGGAAGCAGACAGAGATTGAGGCCAGCCTGGTCTACATATCAAGTTCTAGGTCAGTTGGGACTACATAGCAAGACCCTGTTTCAAAAAAAAAATAGAAGGAATTGATTATTTTGGCCATTTTTAAAGTGTTAACTCGTAAGACTTCTTTATATGTTATAGATACAAATTCCTTACTATATAAATGATGTACAGATTCTCCCCCCCCCCCTTATCCAAGACATCGTCTCCTATATATAACCCCAGCTGGCCTAGAACTTGCTATATAGACCAGGCTGGCCTCGATCTCACAGAGATTGACCTTCCTCTGCCTCCCAAGTGCAGCAATGAAAGGCATATACCACCATGCCTGGCCTAGCTGTGTCTTTTTTAAAAATATTTATTTATTTATTATTTTTTATTTTATATGTATGAGCGTATTGCCTCATACAATACTTACATAGTGTAAGTAAGTGCAATCCTGTCATGCAGTGCCGCAGAAGTCAGAAGAGGGTTTCGGATTACCCTGGAACTGGAGTTAAGGACAGTTTGTAGCCACCATGTAGGTGCTAGGAATCAAACCCGGGTCCTCTGCAAGAGCAGTCAGTGCTCTTAACCACTGAGCCATCTCTTCAGCCTCTATCAGCTGTGTCTTTTAAAACATACACTTTAGTTTCATTGACTTGATTTTACCTTTTATCATTTTTTTTTCGTCTTTTTGAGACAGGGTCTCCCTGTAGCCCCAGCTGTCCTGGAACTCACTGTGTAGACCAGGCTGGCCTTGAACTCACAGAGATCCACCTGCCTCTGCCTCCCGAGTGCTGGGATTAAAGATGTGTGCCACCATGTCCAGCTTCTTTTATCATTTTTAGTGTAATGACTAAGAATTTGTGGTCTATTTGAAGCCACAACAATTTGTTCCTATGTTTAAAAAAAAATTCTTCGTGTGTGTACACACAAGGTGTTGGGGGGACATTCATAGCACAGCACATGTGTGGAGGTCCAAGGAATCAGTTCTCTTCTTCTATTTTTACATAGGTTCCAGGGATTAAACTCAGGTGGCTAGGCTTACACAGCAAGCACCTTTACCCATTGAACCATCTCCCCACCCTCTTTTCTTTCTTTCTTTCTTTCTTTCTTTCTTTCTTTCTTTCTTTCTTTCTCTCTCTCTCTCTTTCTTTCTTTCCTTCCTTTCTGTCTCTCTCTCCCTCTCTATCATCCATCCATCCATCCATCCATCCATCCATCTTCTATCCATCCATCCATCCATCCATCCATCCATCCATCTATTTTAATAATGGCAGGGATTGATCCAAGGGTCTCATGTGGACTAGGTAAATGGTTTGGTTCTGAGCTTCACATAGCCCTCTGATCCATTTTGAGTTACTCTCTGTGTATGATGTGAGTTGTGGGTCCAGCAGAATTCTTCCTTGAATATCTAGTTGGCTCAGCACCTTTTGTTAAAAAGACTATTATTTCTTCTATCAAATGATCTTGGCACCCTGTTTAAAATCAATTGGCCACAAATGTATTTATTTTTATGATTTTGCTTAAACTTAGCAAACTGGATTATATAAATGTGATTTGATCTTCATTGTGCTATATATAAATGCCTCTAAAATTATCCACTTTAGCCAGGTGTGGTGGTACACATCTTTGATCCCAGCACTTGGGAGGCAGAGGCAGGTGGATCTCTGTGAGTTCAAGGCCACTCTGGTCTACATAGTGAGTTCCAGACCAACTGGGGCTACAGGGAGACCCTGTCTCAAAAAGACCAAAAAAAAAAAATAATGTCCACTTTAAGATTCTAATATGGGGCTGGTAAGATGCTGAGCAGGCAAAGGCACTTGCCGCCAAACCCAAGTTTAATTCTCAGAACCTACATGGTGGAAGAAGAGGACTGATTCCTGCAAATTGTCCTCTGACTTCCACATGTGCACCATGGTACACCTGTACCCCACTCCCCTACACACATTACACAATAAATGAATAATGTAAAAAAAAATTTAATTCTAATCTGACTAATAAAACAGAAAATGCTTACAGTTTGAATTAAATTGTAGATCTTGTTTGGTTAGCACTTCGTCTTTGGGCTTGAGCTCAGGTCCTAAAGAGTGGTGTATCTGATTACTTTTTAGCATTGACAGTAGCGTTATTTGGCATAGCTCCTAAAGAGAAGGGACACACTGACCTTCAACTGGAGATGGCTACAAACCGTGATATAGACATATTAAATTATTTTGTTTTTGTTTTTTGAGTCAGGGTCTCAGTGTAGACCAGGCTAACCTCAAACTCAAAGAGATCAGCCTGCCCCCACCTCTAAAATACTGGGATTAAAAGCTTGGCCACCACGCCTGGCTGATTGTGTTTTATGACATGAACTTGATTTGCAATGATGTGGCAAGTGCCTGGAAAGCAGGTTTGGTTGTCTCTCCATACTCATGGGTTTCCCACTCATGGACAAAACCAATTTTGAATAAAAAATACTCAGAAAGACCTGGACATGGTGGTGCATACCTTTAATCCCAGCACTCAGGAGGCAGAGGCAAGAAGATCTTTGTGAGTTCAAGGCCAGCCTGGTCTACATAGTGAGTTCCAGGCCAGCCAGGGCTATATAGTGAAACCTTGTCTTATATATATATGTATGAGTGTATGCATATGTATGTATTTTTTTCCAGAAAGAAAAAAATTGGACTTATAGCCAATTTCCATGATGCTGAAAGACAGCTATACTAGCATTTAAACTTTTCAGTCCTTTTTGCCTGGATCTGTATGTCCTAGATGCAGCCATATCACTGTATCCTGGGGCACCAGGGAGCACAGGGCTTTAGAACAGAGACTACAACTGGCCTGCCCAGGTCCTTGCCGTGGCTTCTAGGGAATCTCACTCTGCAAGCTCTTAGCCTTCCTGGGACTCTGTTTCTTTTTTGTTGTTGTTGTCGTTGTTGGTCTTTTTGAGACAGGATCTCCCTGTAGACCCAGCTGGACTGGAACTAAAAGAGAAAGATAACAGAGGTTTGGGGGTGGGCAAGGAGATGGCTCAGTGGGTAAAGGCACTTTCAGCCAAGCCTGATGTCCTGAGTTCAATCCCTGGTACCCACATGGTAGAAGATGCCTGACTTCTATAAGTTGTCCTCTGATCTCCACACAGGCACAGTGGCATTTCCCCTCCCCCAATAAATAAGTAAATGTAAAAAAAAAATTAGAGAATTGGGGGTGAGAGTAATAAGAATGCTTTATATACATGTATGAAGTTGTCAAAGAACAAATTTAATCAATAAAAGTTACATTGTTACTAAATGTGTTCTCAATATATTTAATGTACTAGAAGGCATCAGTGTTAGTCAGCTTTGTGCTACTACTATATAAAACACCTGAAATAATTAGCTTAGTAAAGAAAAAGGTTTGCCTTGGCTCGCAACCATGGAAGTTGTAGTCCATGGTTATTGGCCCTGTTTCTTTAAGCCTGTGGTGACACAGTGCATTGTAACTGGGGTTGTGTGGTAGAGGAGGAGGACTGTTCACCTCATGGTGTCTGAGAAGCAGAGAGAGACAGGAAGAGGTGGAGGTCTCAGTGTCTCTTTTGAGGATATACCAGTGACTTAATTTCCTTTTATCACCCTCCATCAGTGCCAGAGGCTGGGGATTTTTAGGGGCACTCCAGATCCAGACTGTAGCACCTATGATACATAAACACCGCGCTTGCAGTGAACACATATGGATTCTTTGTGTCACCAAACAGTGCAGTGTAATAGTCATTTATACTATAGTGACACTGTATTAGGCATCAGGAGTCCACTGGAGGTGATATAAAGGAACACAAAGGGTGTATGTAGGTCTTGTACAAATCCTGCAGCACTTCTTGTAAGGGACCAGAGCAACCCTGGCAGTTGGTATCCTCAGGGGGCTTACAGCCAATTCCCATGATGCTGAAGGACAGCCATACCAGCTTTTAAGCTTTTCAGTTCTCTTTGCCTGGATCTGTATGTCCTAGATGCAGCCACATCACTGTATCCTGGGGCACCAGGGAGCACAGAGCTTTAGAACAGAGACTGCAACTGGACTGCCCAGGTCCTTGCTGTGGCTTCTAGCGAATCTCACTATGCAAGCTCTTAGCCTTCCTGGGACTCTTGTTTCTTTTTTGTTGTTGTTGTTGTTGGTGGTGGTCTTTTTGAGACAGGATCTCCCTGTAGACCCAGCTGGCCTGGAACTCACTATGTAAACCAGGCTGGCCTGAAACTCACAGAGATCCGCCTGCCTCTGCTTCTGCTGGGATTAAAGGCATGTGCCACCATGCCCATCTGGGACTCTGTTTCTTAAACTATTTAAACTGAAGCTAATGAGAAAGTGTCAACTATGGCTCCTGGCACACTCTAGGTGCTCAGTGAATGTGACTGCTGCTGTTGTCATTCCACAGGAGTTAATAAGTGCACATTGAGGGACCATGCCACATTCATAGTACAGTGTAGATGAACCTTGAAACCATGATGTCACATGGAGGAAGCCAAACAGAGAAGCCATATAATGTATGATTCTAGTTATGTGAAATCTTTAGCATCAGCTGATTCCCAGAGACAGGACGAAGAACAGCTGTCACCACAGGCTGGGGGAGGTGGGGATGGGCACTGGATGCTTAATAGGGTTTCTTTTGGAGGTGCTTAAAATATTCTAAGAATATTTGCAGTCATTTTTGATAAAACCCTGGATATGCTAAAGTTTCATTATGTATTTAAATGGATAATTGTTACATTATGGATTATATCTCAATAAAACTTAAAATGAGTTTGCCGGATTTTTAAAAGGTACAGACTGCTGATGTGTTTAATAGTGTGGATGAATATTAGTTTACTGGGTAAAAGAAGTCAGATAGAAGAACATACTCTATGCTTCTAACCATTGAAGTTCTAGAACATGTAAACCAATCTGCAGTATAGAAAGAAGCTTGGCAGTTGCTGGGGCCCCAGAGTCAGGAGGTGAGCCAGGGAGGGCAGGGGAAGTTGCTTAGGGGAACTGGAGTGGTGGAGAGTGTATTTGCCCTTTGACCATGGTGATCCTTGTTTTGTGCTATATATTTGCCACAGCTTATCAAATTGTACCCTTTTACTGTATGTAGTTTATTACATGTTAATTATACCTCAGTAAAACTGTTTAAAGATAATCAGTTTTGGCCAGATAGTTAGTGCCTTGTATAGAGCCATCTATCTTCGCAGGAGAGTGAGACAGAGGGATTATTTGAGCACAGGATTCAAGACCAGCTTGGGCAACATGACAAGATTATGACCCTCCCCACCTAAAAAATTGTTTAGTGTGGATGAAGGGGTCAGAATTGACCAGGCTGTCTGTCTTGAGGTCGAAGAGTCAAGGGAAGGAAGTTAGAATATTGTAGCAGCATTACATAGGTGGTCAGGCAGGCAAAGCTTGGGATCAAGATTTTGGTGGAAGTGATTCTGACCTGTAGGGGGTTAAGGAGGTAGGAACAGGGTGCATGTGTTTGTAGCTAAGGAGACAGTTGTGGCATGCTCATGGGGGGACAAGATTGAGCTTCTAAGGGGGAGACACAGGAAGAACAGTACTGCCAGGCAGCACATGGTGGCAGCAAGACAGGGTCGGATGAAGGCTTGTGGCCTGAGTCAGGATTTGGAAGCAGCAGTTGAGAAGAGGAAAGTTGCCTTGCTTACCTTCCTTCTCCAGCTAGGGTTTGGAGTGTGAAGAAGAGCTAATCCATATTCAGAGACCTTCTTGTGAAGCTGTTTCTGAAGAGGCGGGGCAGAGGTTCAGTGTTGAGGGACACAGCAGACACAAGGGGATAGCATGGTTGACAGGGCAAGAGCCAAGAATCTGGGTGATTTCATGTAATGAACAGGTACAGGCAAGCCCCAGAGACCCAGCAGGCTTCCACTGAACTCCCTGGGGACCAATTTGCCAAAGAAAGTTGGAGAAACATCGTTCCCACAGCTTAGCTTGTTGGGCCAGCCTATGCAAGTGCCAAAGCAGAACACATTGTTATGAGGATGTTTGAGACCAGATGGTGCTAGCCCACCCTCTGGGCGTTGGGAGGAGTAGGCACCTGAGAGACCCTACCTGATTGAGGTCAGCTCCCCAGAGCTGTGATAGTGGGAAGGGGATTTGTTATGCAGAGTCCATGCCCCTCTTGAGGGCCACAAGGACTGGATAGAAATGGAGAGCTTGGCTCAGTAGAGCCTGGATCCTTCCCTATAGCCCACAGCTAGACAACTGAGGGTGTGTAGGAGTTCTTCTTCATAGATTCCTTATTTATTTGTATCTCCTGAGGCTGCAGTTCTCTTTCAAGTATCTATAGGTTCTGCAGTATTTTTTCCCTTTGTTTTTTCCCTCCTTTATTCCTTCCCTCTCTTTTTGTTCCTGGGGATGGACCCCAAGGCCTTGTGTGTCTACACACCTGTTCTGTCACTGAGCCCTCTGCCATCCTTTTAATTCTGTGCTTATTGCCAAACACTTCTTTCTTTCCCTGTTTTCCCCACTCAGATAGGGTATATGAATAGCTTAACTAACCTTTTTGGGTTTGGTCCTGCAAAATTATTATTAGTCCAATACTCATCTCTGAGTTTGTGCCTTTGGCCAGGGCAGATTACTTCTGACTGTTCAAGACCTTTGAGTGGGACAAAAATGCAGGCTGCAGCCTCTTGTGTGGAGAGGTGCAGGGCAGTGGGTTTTCCCATGACAGGTGCAGGCTCAGACTCTTACAGGGCTCAGCCAGTGGAGGGGGAGGTGGCTCTCAGTGTGGAGCTGCAGGGCTCATTGTCCTTTCTCTTCTGGCAGCACTGATGTCTTCATCTGCACAAGCCCCATCAAGATGTTCAAGTACTGTCCCTATGAGAAGGTAAGGTATGCATCCCGAGCAAGAGCTGCTGGGTGGCACAGGGCCCCATTCTGGTGCTCCCTGCCTCTGTGCCAGTAGCTGTGCTCCTAAGGCCTCCTCTGACACCAGCTAGAGGCTCTGTCCCATGCACTGAACATGGGCTTGGTGGGAGGGGCCCCTGATATATTGTCAGATGTGCCTGGACCAGTACAGACTAGTAAAGGAGGTGATATGAATCAGAGAGATAGCCATGTCTGGGCATGGGCTAGAGGTTCAAGGACATCTCTACATAATTTCTCTCTCTCTCTCTCTCTCTCTCTCTCTCTCTCTCTCTCTCTCTCTCGCTTGCTCTCTTCCCACAGATGGAACCCAGGGCCTTAGACATGCTAGGCAATGCTCTGTCATTTAGCTATATCCTCAACCTTACATAAAGTCTGACCAAAAGCCAAGCATGGTGGCACATATCTGTAATCCCATCACCCATGAGGTTGAGGCAAGAAGATTGCAAGTTCCAGGCCAGTCTGTGCTTCGTAGTGAATTCAAGGCCAGCTTGGGCTAGATAGTGAGACCTTGCCTCAAAAAAAAAAAAAAAAGTCTAGCACCAGGTGTGGAAGTGCACGTCTTTAATCCCAGCACTCCGGAGGCAGAGGCAGGCGGATCTCTGTGAGTTCAAGGCCGGCCTGGTCTACATAGTGAGTTCCAGGACAGCTGGGGCTGCAGGGAGACCCTGTCTCAAAAAGACCAAAAAACAACAACAAAAAAAATGTCTAGCCAAAAGAAATGTTCAAAGTTTGTATTATTACTTGTTCATTCTTTGGTCTCACTGAAAAGAAACAGAACTATTCAAATGAATTTCTGCAGATTGGAAGCTGCTGTTGCTGAGCCCAGAGAAAAGGTCTGGTGCCCCAGGAGGAGTTCCTGTGTTAGGACTGGGCCACCACACCTTGGGAGTTTCTCAAAAGCTCCTTTGGATCCAGAAGGCTGGGTCCCCAACCAGGCCTCTCCCTTAGGGCTTTCAAATCTTCAGCTTCTGAGTACCTGTACCTTCCTCTCCTTGGTCTGCCTGTGTCAGAAACACACTGAGGCCCTCAGCTTGGAGGTGCTGCGCCCTGCTAGGGAGTTTACTCCACAGTTGCTGTGGGTTATGTGCTTTTTAAAAGCTAGCTAGGCATTATTTATCTCTCTCATTGTCTAACCCTTCCACCATGGTTTCCCCATTTAAAGTGCCCCTATTTTCCCCATTTCTCCCTTAATACCCTTCTACTATGGTCCCACCTTTCTTGAGCTCCTTCTTTCCCTTTATCCCCTAGGTTCCTTGTATAACCTTCCCTCCCCTCTTCCCTTAAACTAACCCAATTTTTATCCATATCTCCCTAATTTAGGCTTGTTTCCTACTGTTCTTCTCCTTCAGGTTCTTTCTTTTCCTTTACCTCT